GATTGGAATATTTCAGTTAAAAATAGTTTTACAATTTCTTTGTGATTTGTGAGTACCAAAAGGTTTGCTAACAGCTTTAATAACCACTCTAAAACGTTGGCCCTATTAACTGTGAACCCCAAGTGACATTATAGCACATATTTCATAAACTAATGTAGATTTTGTATAAATATTGAGTGAATGCTACATTCCTACTTTTTATGTTTGCTTTCTAAAGTCATTTAACAATAATAATATTAATAACATTTCATTTATATAGCACACTTTAAAAACATCGTCATCTCAAGGTGCTTCACAATGCTATAAGGAGAAAATAATAAAACAAATAAAATAAAAAGTTATCTAAGGAGCATATTGAATAAAATATGGTAATATAAATTAAAAAAAGGTTAAGAGCATGTTGGGAAAATACTGAATGTACTCTTCCAATATCAGAGTAGCACATGATAACAAAGGCCCTACCTAGCTGTGTACGTAACAGGATGTATGATTACCTAGAAGAGCGTCAGGACACACTGTTTTAGGGTATATGATAGCTATGTGACAACGATTAACATGCTGATTCAGCCTCTAGAGCAGGGGTGTCGAACTCAAGGCCCGGGGGCCAAATCCGGCCCGCGACTTCATGTGGCCCTGCAAGAGCTTGCAAAGAATATAATACGTTTATTATACGGTTACATGCCACTTTACAGAAGCAGGTTGCCCATAAACTACATGTCCCACAATGCATCTCGTTTTGTGAATTGCGCACTGAAGGGACTTGCAATTATTTGCCCTGGACTTCTGCTTTCAGACGTAGCTATTTACTAAGTTATTACCCAATCCGATAATAATCCAATTCAGAGGGAATAATGTAATATAATACTTTATTTTATATAGATATTATATATTTATATAGTTACAACCGGCCCTTTGAGAGCAACCATAATACTAATGTGGCCCGCGATGAAATTGAGTTTGACACCCCTGCTCTAGAGAGATAGACATATGACTGTCATGCTTATTGCTTACGTGCAGTGGCGTTTTTATATTTACAAAAGTGGTGGGGCACAAAAAAGTTAGATCTGTTTATAAGCTTCTGCAGTGACGTGCAGTGAGGTTCATGGCTGGTGAGGCACTGGCACTGACTCTTCAGGTTTACAAATATTATATTTTGACCTAAATCAAAATGTAATATTATTTTCAAAAGCTTTTTTAGTCTGATGCTTTGATTAATTTTAAACAGACAAGTTCAACAAAAGGATACCCAACAAATGTAATTTTATCATTTAAATATTGGATTGTTCTCTCTTAGTAAGATCCCATTTTCAATACAATGTGCTGGTCTTACCTTGACTTGAAGATGAAGTCCATGAATCAGGATCCATGACTCAGGATCCAGGACTTAGGATCCAGGAATCAGGGTACACGACTCAGGATACACGACTCAGGATCCACGACTCAGGACCACGACTCAGGATCACGACTCAGGATCCAAGACTCAGGGTCCAATATTCAGGATCCAGGACTCAGGATCCAGGACTCAGGATTCACGACTCAGGACCACGACTCAGGACCACAGCGACAGGCACAGCCACGAGTAGGTCTTTGTTTTAGTCAAATATCAGTTTGAATTCAATCAGCGAAAAATCCTTAGATGTATTGATTCTGCTAACAGAACAAACTGCAAGAGGAAAGAGACTGGTGTATCAACATTTTAGGTTGAGTTGTAATGAGTCCATTAAATAAGATTTAAAGGTCACCTATTATGCAAAATCCACTTTTCCATATATTTTATACATAAATATGTGTCCCCTCTGTGTAAAGAGATTATGAAAGTTTCAGGACAAAATGATCTGTCTCTTTTGGTCCTGATCCATCTATATAAAAACCTGTCTGAAAATGAGCTGATCAGATTTTGGCCACTTTGTGATGTCACAATGTTTTTTTGGGCTGTGCAACCATTAGCCAATAACCAAGGTAACACCCGCCCACCTTATCACCTGATTCTCCTCCTAGAGCACCTCTGTGTGTTTCAAACCAAACACAGGGCTGAAACAGAGGGGTTTACTGCATTATACCATGCATGATCTCAGTGGTTTTTAGAGCCAAACACTTCAGAGACATGGTTTGCAAATATCTGAGACCTATAATATATTGTTGGAAAGGAGTATAATAAGGGACCTTTAAGGTCATCTCAATTTAGATTCAAGTTGTATAACTTTATGCAGATGATACCCTGCTTTTTATTTCTTATCCTGAATTTCTTATTCTTATTGAGTCAGATGTCCAGAATTAAGTCAGGGTAACATTTAACAACATATGAACATAACATAGAGAATAAATTAAACATCAGTTATAAGAGCTTTGTGGTTTACCATTGAAATGTTCCTACTAAGGTTATTGGAACTAATTCATAACATAGATAGAACCAAAATGAATGCAGAAGTACATCAACAGTCTAGCAATTATTAACAAGTATCTGGAACAAATGTATCATTATGAATGTTGTGGCTTTTGTGAATTAATGTGAATAAGGTTCCTTTTATATAATATATCTCAGAGAAAGGGAATCAGAAGACATGTCACTTTTATAATACACACATTGATCTTTATTGTTTTAAAATGTTGAAACCATCGACACAAGCAAAAACAGGTTGATGTTGAAACATGTCCTGAGAGCCAGAGAGCAGACTGAGAGCAGTGTGAGAGAGGAAGCAGAGTCCCAGTGAGTCAGCTCAGGACTGGGAACACTGGTCTCTCCTCAGTGTCTCTGAGAGCGGAGTCTGGGAGCCCTGGGTGGCCTCACAGGTCACAGAGCCCACCTTCCTCCACTGGTCTGCAGAGAGCCTCAGGGTGCTGCTCCAGCTGTAGTGGGCGTCCTTCTCCAGCACCCCGGGGCTCCTGCTCTCCTCCCAGCTGCTGCTGCTGCTGCTGCCGTCCACCTTCCAGGCCAGACTCCAGTCTGAGGGGAAGCCCTTGTTGGCCAGGCACATGAGCGTGGCCTTCCCCTGCTGCAGCTCTTCTCTGGAGGGGGGCAGCACCGTCAGGGTGGGACGGACATCACCTAGGAGACACCAATCAGATTAGAGAACAGGGAGCACACAGCTGTCAATCAACCAGAAGACACTGGGACACCTTTACTGTGAGAGTGTTTCTCCTTTAAGGAGTTTCTGTCAGATGTTGGTTCTGCTCCATCAGTCTCTCACTCACACATTGTTTCACTTCCCTTTAAGAAGCCTCTCATGCTAATCAGCACAGAGACACTTCATACAGAATCACCTGAAATATGTCAGACTACACTGGAAATAAAGTACAACATTAGGACATATTTTAAGTAGTTGTTGTTCAAATCATCCAAAACCTGAACTCTACAAACCATTATTAAATTATTTAGTGGATAAATGAACAAATACAGGAAATGGAGCAATCAATTGTGCTCAATGTGAATCTCAATCACTACCCAGTTTTACAAACTTTAAAATAATGTCTGAAAGAATTGAGCACATTTTTAATATCCGTCGATATCTTTACTCTGTTCATCTGTATTTAAAAACTGTATTCTTAATTTATTCAAAAACAGAAGGGAGAACCGAGATAGAAAATTCAAAATAAGTTAAAGGAAAAATTATTTTTAACATTTGCAGTTTTATCCTTTCACATTTGAAGCTGTTTAAATGACAGTTTGTTGGGAATGTATAAAGACATTTCAAGAAAAGCTGCTCCGACTTTGCTCAATGATGAAGAGAAATAAAAACATGAATATTAATACTATCTAAACATTACAATAAAAATTATAAAAATCTATCTCTCAAACATTCCAACACAGAATTAAAACGTCTCTTAACAACATCATATTTAGTTTTTGTGCAGAAACTTACTTCCAACATCCAGTCTGGTTCCTCCACCAAAAGTCAACCACAGTGATACAAAGTCATTGAGCCGCCGTACAAAAACCTCTCACTGTAGAGAGACACGGCTCTCTGACTCTGACACACTGAACTAAACCTACCAGCCCTCAAGATGCTACTTCACCATTAAAGGTGGAAATAATGATTTATTCTCTGTTCAATGTTTAACTCTCATGAAAACATTTAAACGTCTTTTGCTGGAGTAAAGTTAGCCTCTTAGTGCAAAATATTTGAGAAGAATTTATACAATGACATGGAGAGGCAACCACTTATCCTAGTATGCTGAATACAACAAAAGAGAAATGGCTCTTATAAATTAACATTTGACTTACTTCCAACATCCAGTCTGGTTCCTCCACCGAACGTGTACCACAGTGATACAAAGTCATTGAGCCGCCGTACAAAAACCTCTCACTGTAGAGAGACACGGCTCTCTGACTTTGACACAAACAAACTCACCAAACACATCCACAGTTTACCCAGTTTATATAATAACTGCTTATAATGTTTGAAACAGATTCACACACTATGGAAAAGTATCTACTGTTTCTTTAGTGAACCTTTTAAACATTTACAACAAATATTTACTCATCTCTTCAGTTTTAAAATGAAGATTCTTCTTTTGAAAAACGGATTGTTCACAAAATATGTTTAGTTTCACGATTTTATCAACTTTTAAACATCAGCAAGCAAAGTAATTGAACACTTAAATAAAACAATAAATGTCTAATAAAATCTCTACATGTTATACTTCCAAATGTGAATCATTACCATGAATACAAGTTTGTTTTTCCATCAGGATCAATAATAAATCTCAATTTTGTTTTTCCTAGGTGGGATTGATTATTTGGGGTTATTAATTTGAGCTTTTTAATTAAATTAACTGCAAGAAAATGTGTCCATTGAACTTAGAGCCTCATACAAGTGAGTGCTGACCCATTCCAGATCAATCCTCTGACAGAGGGATGGATCCATTGATAAACAGCATCATCAGAGTAATCCAGGTCCCTGTTGGAGTCAGTCAGAGCATTTCCATAGAGAGACACTTTGCATCAGCAGCACCATGCTCCAGTGCTCCGGGAGACCTTATAGTCCTGAGAGTTGAACACTGGATGACTGACAGCTGTCCTTCATGACAACAGAAGCCACAGAAATCCTCCTCATCAAAAACATCACTTTGATCTGCGTCCTCATCTGGACTCTCCTCTGCTGCTGCTTCACAGGTAAAGTCCAGAGAATCAAACTCCTCTCCTCTGTGAACATCCGTCCCTCTGAAATGAAGCGGACAAAACCATGACGCTGCTTTATGTCTTTGTCTCTGTATCCTCAGAGTCCAGAGGCCAGGTCACAGTGACTCAGTCTGGAGCAGTGAGCTCTGCTCCGGGACGCTCCGTCTCCATCACATGTAGGACCAGTCAGAGGGTTTATAATGGGGACTATTTAGCCTGGTACCAACAGAGAGATGGAGCAACTCCTAAACTGCTCATTTACCGTGCTAGCACTCGAGCATCAGGGATTTCAAACCGTTTTACAGGCAGTGGATCAAACTCTGACTTCACTCTGACCATCAGTGGAGTCCAGACTGATGATGCAGCAGTTTACTACTGTCAGAGTACCCATTACCCCAACAGTCAGTGGGTGTTCACACAGTGAAAACGTGTCGTACAAAAACCTCCCTCAGTCAGACTGAACAGGAACTGAACTGACTGCTGCAGCTGGAAGCTACTGCAGGGACTGATATACTTCACTGAGGACACACACACACACACACACACACACACACACACACACACACACACACACACACACACACACACACACACACACACACACACACACACACACACACACACACACACACACACACACCTCCATTAAGCGTGTCACTTTTTCAAGCAAAGACTTCTGAAATATTTCTAATAATATATTAAGTGAATGAACTCATACACACCATAGTAAAATACTCAAAAATAGCCACACTAAACTCATGGGTCCTCAGCTTCTTTTTTGAACAGTGTTCACTTCTGTCTAACTGGAGTGACTCCCAAAGATCAAAAGTCCCGACTTCAAATCAAATGTCACCTTCACTTTAAAGTCTGAAGTGAGGTAAATCCAGCCAGCCCTGATCATGAGACGTTCCTGACCTCCTAGTGATACAGCCCTGTAGAAGGTCAGAGATAAAGGAGGCTGTCTGACCATGCAGAGCTCTAAAAGGGATCACAAGTATCTTAAACTGGACTCTTTATTTAATGTGGAGCCATGAATACAAATCAAGCTGTTACATGAGATCTTTTCAAAGAGCCGGTCAAAGTTCATTTAACAGTCCTTTGGACATTTCAGTGAGTGATGGCTGTGAAAGTAAAGAAGAAATGGAGTTACACAGTTTAAATGGACAAATAAATCTGTAAATGATCATCTCCAGCTTAGCTTGAAGCACATTGGGATTCAACTTAACAAATAATGTAAACGGTAAACAACAGATGTGAATCCAACACTTCATGCTGCTCAACAGTCAATGTCTGATCTAAAGTGTTAGCCCTATTTCAGACAGTATGAACAGATGAGGAAAAAGGAGCATCTGAGAATTTGAATAATACAACTTTATGGAGATGAAAGAAAAGCATCAGCATCTCAGGTATCTTCTCTGAGTATATTCATCATACAATTATATTCCCCACCAATGATATTCATTTTTACATCATATAAAACTGCCTTGTTTCATCTTAATGACCATAATGTGATCAGCCATTAAAGAAAGTATTCTGTCTAATGCCACTCTCTTTTTGGATTTACAATAAGGATAAATTGCCGACATCGGACTTTACATTTTTGTCAAAATGAATCATGTAAATTAAAGTAGCTACTGTATAAGAAAACTTGCAACGCTGAATTTGTATTCTGGTGTGAAACCTTTTAACAATCTGTATCAATAACCTTTTTTTCTTTCACGTGTGTTAAACAACATATATTTCTACACTTTAAAATCTTCTCACCAACAGGCTCAACTTGCTGCTTTGTGTGAACCAAATGAACTTGTGTACGACATAGTAATCTTTGAGAGCCCATTATGTAGTGAAACATGAAACAGTGAATGCTGTCAGCACTGAGGGGGAACACCATGCTGTTTGAGGACAGCTACACTTCACTGACTCTGTGTGTTTGCATATGTGTCCTGCCTCTCTGCTCCCAGACGTTAAGAGGCCAGAGGTGATCAGCGGCTGTCCAGACCTTTCAGAGCCACTGACACGCCGGCAGCACAATGATGATGTCACTGACTCTACTGCTGGCCACCCTGGGGCTCCTTGTTCAGGGTGAGACTCTCTTCTGAAAACTTTGCTTCAGGATGCAACCAGGTTCCCCAACATGATGATCTGCTATGATGGAGAAGCACTGAGACAAGCAGCATGCACCTTCTTCCATCTGTTCTCCATGTTAAAGAGAGGATGCTCTTCTGTTTGGATGTTGATCATCTTTCTCCACGCTGTTTGTCTCAATAACCCTTCTGCTGTTTTCATGTTTTCCAGATTCATCAGGAGAAATCCTCCTGACTCAGTCTCCTGGATCTCTGTCTGTTGTTCCAGGACAGACTATTTCCATCAAATGTAGAGCCAGTACAAGTGTTAGTTCATACCTTCACTGGTACCTTCAGAAACCTGGAGAAGCTCCGAAACTCTTGGTTTATTCTGCTACAAATCTTCAATCTGGAGTTTCAAATCGTTTCAGTGGAAGTGGATCTGGGACTGTCTTCACTCTGACCGTCACTGGAGTTCAGACTGTAGATGCAGGAGATTATTATTGTCAGCAGGGTAGCAGCTTGCCGTTCACACAGTGATACAACGTCGTACAAAAACCTCCTCAAATAAAGAGGAAGTGATCTGAATGAACAGCTGCATAGAAAAAAGGGAAAAAATATATCTTTGATTAAGATACAATTTTAAACTAATAACAAAATAACACTTTCAGCATGCAAACAATTGCTATTATTAAGGTAATTTTTTGTTGTTGTTTGTGAGTAATTATAAGTTTGCTAAAAGCTTTAATTACCACTCTTTAATGTCGTCCCTTACAACTTTATATTCGAATTAACATTTGAACCGATAATAAATATATTAATATAGATTCATTTAGAAGTATTTAGTGAATGCTTAATTTGTACTTTTCATGTTTCAAAAAGTCCAGAAAACATTACACTTATAACATATAAAAAAAGGAAATGTCGTGCAGCAGAGAGAAAATGGAGGAATACAAAAACCACTATCTGCTGTGATATCTACAAAGATGCTTTAACTGCCTATAACAGAACTATCCGACTAGCAAGGAAAGATTATTTTTCCAATATTATCACAGAAAATGCCAGAAATTCCAGAGTCCTTTTCTCCACTATCGATCAGCTGCTAAACACTGTCTCTGCCCCCCCCACCCTCCTCAACAGCTAAATGTGAGGAATTTGCTCTGTTTTTTGAGAACAAAATAACTTCAATCAGAGCTAGTATCATTACTAGTGGAGGTGGAGATGAAACCGATCTCAGTAGAGTATGTAATGTAACCATGAGTAACTTTACATGCATCACACTAAGCGAACTGTGTAAAACTGTCTCAGAAGCAAACTCCACAACCTTAGACATTGATCCTATCCCCACAAAATTCTTTAAGCGAGTGTTTGATAGCGTCTCCAGTCCGGTCCTGGACATTATAAACACAGCCCTTAAAACTGGCATCTTCCCTGATGCCTTTAAAACCAACACACTCTCATTCCATAAACGTCCAGGAGCGACGCTTGGTCAGGGTCCCGAGGCGTGCAGTTGGGACGCTCCTAGGCTCCTTCAGCTTCATAAAGGGACGCAAATAGCTTTCAACTGATTGCAATGTATTCCCATCTGCGGTCCTGGACATTATAAACACATCCCTTAAAACTGGCGTCTTCCCTGATGCCTTTAAAACAGCTGTTGTAAAGCCTCTATTAAAGAAACCTAATTTGGATAACAACACAGTAGCAAACCACAGACCAATATCAAATCTACCATTTATCAGTGAAATATTGCAAAGAATTGTCTCAGTCCAAATAAATTCCTATCTTAACGAAAACAACATCTTAGAAGTATTTCAGTCAGGTTTCAGAAGATACCACAGTACGGAAACTGCACTCACAAAGGTAATTAGTGACCTCAGACTCAACTCTGATGCAAATAAAATCTCCATCCTTATCCTATTAGATCTCAGTGCAGCTTTTGATACTATTGATCACAACATCCTGATAAATCGACTTGAAAAGCTTATTGGTTTCTCTGGCTGCGTGTTGAACTGGATCAAAACACATATCAGAGGAAGGATGTTCTATATTAGTCCAGGAGGCCATACATCAGAGAAACATGAAAGCCGTTACGGGGTTGCACAAGGGAGCTGTTTAGGTCCATTACTCTTTTCTCTCTATATGTTACCGCTCGGCGACATCATCAGAGAGTATGGTATAGATTTCCACAGCTATGCGGATGATACACAATTGTACATATCCGCTGAACCAAATGATGCGACAGCCATAAACTCCATTACCAACTGCCTGACAGCAATAAACAAATGGATGAACGATAACTTTCTTAAATTGAATGAGGACAAAACTGAAGTCCTACTTGTTGGCCCCAAATCAAAAAGAGAGACGCTAACAAATAATCTAGGAAGCTTAACCACTTGGATTAAACCCGAGGTGACAAGTCTCTGTGTCATCCTGGACTCAGATTTGAACTTCAACGCCCATTTAAACAAAGTGACCAAAATAGCTTTCTTTCATCTCAGAAACATAGCGAAGGTATTCATTTCATAAATCAAAATGATGCAGAGAAGCTAATTCATGCTTTTATATCTAGCCGACTAGACTACTGCAATGCACTATTCACTGGTCTCCCCAAGAAAACTATTGAAAGACTCCAGCTCATTCAAAACTCTGCAGCTAGACTAACTAATACCAAAAGGAGGGAACACATTAGTCCTGTGTTAGCTCCTCTACACTGGCTTCCTGTAACTTTTAGAATTGATTTTAAGGTGCTTCTCCTCACATACAAAGCTCTAAATGGACAAGGACACAGCTACATTGCTGACTCTCTAATAAACTACACACCCGCCAGAACACTGCGATCATCAGATGCAGGTCTATTAGAGGTCACCAGAAAGAGTCATAAGAAGATCGGTGATGCAGCCTTTGTAAACTACGCCCCAAAACTGTGGAACACGTTACCCAACAATATTAGGGAAGCCAATACGTTAGACATTTTTAAAAGGCAGCTTAAAACCTATCTCTTTACCAAAGCATTTTACTGACTTTACACTATTATACTGCACTATTTCTCTATGTTTTATTCCCCATGTTTTTATGTTTCATTATTTTATCCCACTTTATGCTTTGCTCTTGCTGCTTGTTTTACACTGATGTTATGTCTTATTTCTTACTGATGTAAAGCACTTTGAACTGCAATCCCCTGTATGAAAGGTGCTATACAAATAAAGTTATTATTATTATTATTATTATATCAATGATACTTAACGTTTTTTGCTCAAATGTATTTAAGGTTTTATAGTTATTTAGATTATCTCTAGAAAGTGGAAGAACTCTAAAAATATATATATTTTAAAACCTAAAAGAAAATTATAAAATCTCAGTG